AGTTCAGAAAGAATGCTAGGTAAATGTTGCTTAACAACAGAAACTCAATCAACTGAGCAAAAACACTCTCTTAGAGCAAGTGTTGAACTCTATCGATTACGGAAGTCTCAGCTGAACATTCTGCTACAATAATAACTGCTTAATACATCTCTTGAGTAAGAAAAGTTCAGAATGGTTCTCCCAGAAGCCTCAGCGCTGCAGACAAATAGCAATAGCAGAACGAGAGTGCACGCTCAGCATCCCTATGAATAGCAATTCGGATTGCTCTGATATTGTAGAATAGAGCATTCAAGCGTTGGAAGAAGAACTTAGCAATAATACTCTTCAATATTCTTTATTGCTTATGCTAAGTACTATAATCAGGAATATGAATAAGGGATGATATTTCCTTAGCTATTAGTATGAATATCTAAGCAATATAGAGAATGCTTCTTAAGCAATAGAAGAATCAAGCTAGAGCAAGCAATCTAGCAGCTTGCAAAAGCTCTCTGCAAACAACAATGAACTCAAGAAGCTTACAGAAAGATTTCTTTTCAGCATTGAGTGGAACAGAGAAATAATATGGATCAAATATCTCATCTACGGAATAAAGCTGGAAGAGCTCTTCACCTGCATCCCCTTGCAGAATATTGAGATACAAGAAGATAAGAATCCTCGAATCAGCCCACTTCACAATCTACATTATAAACTAGCTTGGATCTTCTGTATCTATTATAGCTGCAGAATGCATTTCTCGAATAAGATATAATACGAATAGTTTTCCATTAGAGAACCAGAACAAATCCTTCAAGCTGTTGAAGAAAAGAAACTTCGCTTTAGAGAAGTTTTCAACAGGCAGCACTATAATGCATATATTGGACTACCAGATAACTGCTCTATGCAATGCGTAAATAAGGAAATAAAATGGTGGCAGTGCAAAACGATGCTTTGTACAATTCATATCAATAACAAGGTTTGCAACTAGCATTAATAAAAGAAAAACTAGGAATAATAATAATATGAGCAAAAGCAAGCTAAGAAGCTTGCTCAAGAAGCAGCGAAGCAGGCTTAGAAGAATAAGCAGTTCTCAATGAATTCAAAAGAACAGGATTGCTTGTAAAGAGACTGCAGATGATCAGACTAGAACAGTTCCTATATAAAGCTTCTAGAATAGATTATGCTTATATCAAGTTCGATATATATATTCAAGAATACAAATATAGCATATTATTGAACAGTAGCGCTCAGGGAAACTTCATATTCCTATATATTGTTAATCAGGCACAACTATAATGAAGATGAAAGAAACGCTCATATATCTTCAGCACTATAAAAAAACAATCTGTTGTATACAACCAAGGAGTAATTAATAAGGAGACTGATTATCTATTTATCTTGATCCAAGAATGCATAATCAGAGCTTCTTTTGATATTATGAATACAGCATAACATGAGCTGATTATGGGACTTCCATAGCTCAAGGAGCATAATTCTCGAATCGATTGAACTACTAGCTAGCTTTCATGAGAACAAGCTGTACTCAGAGAGATAATTACAATCAACAGCGCAGAATCGAAGCTAGTGATTAAAGAATACTCAGGAAAAGAAGCTTTATACAACTTCCTACATACTTTCAAACCAGCAAGGCTAGCAGTTCAAGGAGAAGGATCTAGTAATAAGCGAACCCAAACAGTGCTAGAGCGCCAACAGATTAGCAAAATAACGGAAGCGAGATCCTCAGCAAGTCGGTTCGCTCTGAAGCAATAAGGAAAAGCTTCAGAATGTGGATTGTAGACCTACACAGGAAAAACCTCGAAACCAGGCTCTCAAGCACTCAGTTCAGCTCGGAGCAAATGCTCAAGGCTCTCAAAAACATTATCAAAAACAATGAACGAAAAGAAGCATGCTCAACAGTACCTACTATTCCTTCAGATAGCAGAAACAGCATAAGAATCAGAACTAATACTTGCAAACATACTATGAGAATATCATAAGTTCAAAAAACTGTTCCAGAAAGAATTGAATACAGAATTGCTAGAATATAGCTTATATAACTACAAGATTCTGCTACAAGAAGGAAAACAGCTTAAATTCTTCCCTATCTATAGATTAGATAAAGCACAGCTAGAAGCACTTCGGGAGTATCTCGATAAGAACCTTAAGAAAGAATACATATAATCATTGCAATCACCAGCAGGATACCCTATTCTGTTTGTATTCAAGAAAAATAGCAAGCTTAGGCTATGCATTGACTACAAGCAATTTAATGATATTACAATCAAGAACCGATATCCGTTGCTACTTATCAAGGAATTACAAGACAGACTGCAAGAAGTACAGTGGTTTATAGTTCTGAATCTGAAAGGAGCTTATAATCTGATTAGAGTAAAGGAAGGAGAAGAATGGAAAACTGCTTTCAGAACATGCTATGAATACTACGAATATTTGGTTATACTCTTTGATTTAACGAATACTTCAGCTTTGTTTCAGAAAATGATCAATTATATTCTATGCAAGCATCTGGATCAGTTCATCATTGCCTACCTCAACAATATCCTTATTTACTCTCGGATATTGAAAGAATACAAGGAACATATAGAAACAGTGTTGTAGACGCTTTAAGATGCAAAACTTCTTGTAGAATCCGCAAAGAGTTACTTTCACATACAAAAAGTTGATTACCTCGGATTTACAATCAAGCTAGAATGCATTAAGCTACAGAAAGATAAGATAAAAGCTATCAGAAATTAGCCAGTTCTCAGGAACGTTAGAAATGTTAGATTTTTCCTCAGATACATCAACTTCTATAAGCAGTTCATTAAGAACTATAGCTGAATTGCACATCCTCTTACAAATCTCACCAAGAAGGAATAATCTTTCGAATGAATCTCTAAGATACAAGAAGCTTTTGATGAGATCATCAAGCATGTTACCTCAGAGCTAGTTCTGTACGAAGCAGACTCCTACAAATCCTTTGAAGTTGAAATCAATGCATCAGAATATGCACTTAGAGAATAACTTGGTTAGCAAGATAATTAAGAGCATCTAAGAATTGTAAGCAACTTCTTAAAGAAGTTGAATAGCTCGGAAATTAACTACGGGATTTCTAATTAGGAACTTATAGCAATAGTAAAAGCTTTTGAGGAGTAGCAATACTATCTTATTAGCATATAATATCCAATCATAGTTTACTCAGATTATAAGAATCTGATTACATTTATAATAATTAAGGTTTTGAATAAGCAACAAATCAGATAAGCAGAATTCCTCTTACAGTTCGATTTCAAGATTATATACTGCAAAGGCTTGGAAAACGAATAAGCAGATGCTCTTAGTAGAAGATCAGACTATCGAGATGCAGATTCCTCGGATATATAGAACATCTTCGCTTAAAACAAGTCAGAAAATCTTGTTAATGCATATAGAGAACTGAATACTACTCTCAGAATCGAATCCTTGAAAAGGAATCCCAAATCAATAACTCTGAATAAACAAGATAACTACATTAAGAATATACACAGTATACCAGCATACGAGCATCAGAGAGTCAAAGCAATCTACGAACGCATCAAAAAATACTAGAATCCATCAGATCTTAGGAAAAGAATTGAGAGCATCCTACAACAATACAATAGCTGCAAGAAGAATAAAGCAGAAAGATACAAGCCTTACAGACTACTGCACCCCTTACCAATACCTATAACTATTTAGCAATCCATCAGTCTAAACTTCATTACCAAGCTACCTCTCTTACGAGAACTCTTAACTAAGATGCAATATGATAGCATTCTAGTAGTAGTTTACAGACTGAGCAAGTATGCTTATTTTCTCCTCTATAAGAAAAGCAGTACAGCAGAAGAACTCATATATGCATTCCTCAGAACAATCATCGCTAACTATAGCATGCCAGAAGAAGTGATCTCCAACAGAGACAGAAAGTTCAACTCAAAGTTTTGAACTTCGCTCATGAAACAGCTCGGAACACACCACAGAATATCTACAGCATTCCACCCGCAAACAGATGAACAGATAGAAAGAATGAATCAGATTATTGAACAGTATCTTCAATACTACATCAACTAGGAACAGAATAACTGGATTGATCTATTGCTTCTTGCACAGTTCGCTTATAATAGCGCAGATATAAGCATGATGAAGAAATCACCATTCTTCGTACTCTACAGATATAATCCAACAGCTTACCACGAAATGCTACTAGGAGCAGATACAGAAGCTGCAGACAAAAGAGTTAAGAAGATCAAGAAAGTTCAGAAGGAACTCTGATCAGAATTACAATTTGTTCAAGAACAAATAATGCAATATGCAAACTCCAAAAGAATTGAGGAACTAATTCTATAGGAGGAAGATAAGGCTTATCTACTTCGAAAAAACATCAAAACAACTAGATCCAGCGATAAGCTCGATTATAAGAAGTTAGAACCATTCAAAATCTTGCAACAGATTTCCCTAGTTAACTACGAGTTAGCATTATCTTATAGAATGAAGATATACTCGGTTTTTCACATCTCACTACTGGAACTAGCAGTATAGGAAATACTAATAGATAATATAGCAGAAGTGGAAAATAATGAACCAGAGTATAAGGTAGAGAAGATCCTCAAGCATAGAGGTATGAACAGTACGAGAGAATACCTTATCAAATGGAAAGGCTACTCAGCAAGCGAAAATTCATGAGAACCGCGGAAAAACGTTAAAAATGCTCAGGAAAAGGTAGCCGAATATTAGAAAAGGAAGGAAACCAGTATCTAAGACGATCGCTCCGCCCCGGAGCGAGACCCAGAAGCTTCGGGAATCTCACTCTCCAGAAAGCCCGACTAATCTACCACAGAACCTCCCAAATCTACAGAATTCCAGTCAAAACCCTCAAGAGAAGAATCTTCAGCCACAACAGCAGATTCCTCAGCTATCACAGCCTGTACTTCGGCAGCAACACGCACCCTCTCAGCCTCAGCCTCCTCCCGACGCTCCTTCTCCTTCAGCTTGTTCAGAGAATGCAGATCCTAACTAACCATCTTCGCACTACGATCACGCAGAGAACGTTTCTGTTTTCGCAAACGCATCAAACGAGCTGTTGCCTCGCTCAATTTAGACTGAAGTTCGAGAAGAACTTCCTCTGCATCCAACTCTTTCCGATCTAAACAACCAAGCTCGGTGATGATACGAGATACTATCAGAAGGATTAGAAGGCAAATAAGGAATAACTCAGGGAAGAGCAAACCTATAAGCATTTACTGGAATACCGGAACTATTGCAGAAACGATCCCAGCGAATACAACAGGAACACCTTTTGATATCTTTTATCATCTTACACTCTAACCTCTTCGAAATACAAAAAGAACAAGGCATGACTTCAAAACTTTGAAGGTTGATAGTTAGAGAAAGCTGAAGGCGTTGTTCGGATTTTCGAGAAAGGGACTTTTCGATTCTGTTCGACATCTCGATTAGGAAGGCATGACTATGTGTGCGAACGACTTGCCAGGATACTCACAGAAGATCGTTAGGAACAACGATCAATAGGAGGGAGATAATGTTATAACCCATTCAACATGCAGGTTACGAAACAGGCCCCGCCAACAAGGAACCAGGTATCACGATCCAATATCGGACAACTACCAGGGATTACATAAGCAAGAGTTAGGGTTGGATCACGATAACATAGATGAGCTGCTCACTGGATTACTACAATACAGATCACGGATCACGGTAAGCCAGATAAGCTACGATAAAGAGCTGGATATATAAGGATACGTTCATTACTATTAGATGGATTCAGTACATAGCTCTTCAGTCATCAATCTAAGTATCAGATCACTCTCTACTCTGATAGCCCCAAAAGCAGTGAACACTTGCATTGCTTATTAGGACTTGTACGGTTCCGTATTCAAGGACTTGACATTTTGACACTGCTCTTGTTAGCATAAACCTCTCGTGTACTTAGGAATCTTCGGATTGCTGCAGTGCTCATTATATATTTATAGATTCAGAATTTGAAGAGATTCAGGAAGCTTTTCATGAAATATAATCTAAGATAAGTTTGAATCTTTCGTATGAATATATACTTAGCATATACTAATACTAGATTTAGATGCAGTTTCCTATGCGCTTCAAACATAATAATGATCATTCTCCGATTAAGATACATATTGAACCAGAACTAGGGCGCCATCGCCCTCGAAAGAAAAAGGGACAAACAGCTGCCGAAGCAATGGGCAAGGGCTCGTGCAACCCAAGCGTGCCTGTGCAGATGAGGACAGCAAACTAAGGCCACACGGGCACAAGAACAGGGTGAAAAACCTGTCTTAGACCTGTCCAAAGGGTTCAAAATTGAAAAGAAGAGAAAGAATGCTTCATTGTTGCTTATAGCTAAAGAATTTGAAAAGTAGGTAGTATCCTTTATATGTATGAGAACTCTTGATCCACTATATTCCATGTTCTACGGACTACCACCCTGGCCACCACAACAGTCCTCTTCCAGCAACTTTCTTCCAAAGTTGCAATAAGTCCAATGGTGTGCTAGGTCTGATTAGAGGGAGATGAAGTAAAGAAATAAAGAATTCATTGCAAACTGCTAAAGGAAATACTGCAAACCAAATTATCTCTTTCAATTCAATCCTTATACTTCTCCCTATTATTTAAGCTATTATTCAAATTAATGCAGAAGTATTAGTATTCATCTTTAGTTCATTTGTAATATGGGTATAACCTGGATAGATTCTAATGCTGATTTCTTCTCTGTTCCCGTCTGCTTTCAAACTCTGCTTAAGCAGCAGCAGCAGCAGCAGTTCTCTCCTGATTCTGCATTCTTATTTAACGAATTCTTTTGCAGTTCGCTTTATATATATCTATCTTAATAGCATAATCAAACTCTATCTAGTTCGGAGAATCTACTGAGAGCCTGATAGGATTAAGGCTATGAAGCTTATTTTATAGAAGCATACGAAGCTTCTGAGATTTATTAGGAAAACTGGGAGATATGATGTTGCTGCTTCTCAGTCTCTGATGCAATGGAGCTTCAGTAGCATATTCAGACTTAGCTATTTGCTATATTGATAGATTGATTATTAGTTCTGAATTAATAGGTATTTCTCGAGATGAAGAGAAGTAAGGATTAGTAGGAGTTTCGGATAGGAGTTGATTTAACTCTGAGCTGATATTACGTTCTCTTGATGAATGCAAGATTGGGCTAGCTGGAGCTATGCTCTCTTGGAACTGTTGTTTTAACGAAACTAGGCTGGATGCTCTATTCGCTCTGAAATCCTCCAGAGCAAAGGCTAATATATTCCTTCTCATCCTATTAAGATTGCCTTCAATAAATAATTCAAGCAAGTCTGCAATTCCTTTTATAAAGAAGATAATATTCAGCTTGTAGATTATATTCAGTACTCTACCAGCTTCTACTTATACAGCTTTATATTCTTGAAGTAAAGTACTTCTTCTTAATAGCTGATTAGAATATTGCATATAGTTGCTATATTCCAGCTTATAAGAGAAAGCTTAGCAGTGCAAGCTTATTATAGCTATCTTCGTACTCCATTCTTCTACATTTTGTACAGTCTCTCTATAATTAAGATAGAAAGCTTGCTTTCAGTCTGAATAGCTACTAGATGATTGGTAGAAATCAGTAGATTTCAGAATTCGAAGGCAGAATAGTTCGATTATATAGAGCAGAGCTGCATTCAATTCGTTATCCAGCAGCATAGTTGGAACATTCTCGAAATCCCAATCCTGATTAGCTCTAGCACTTCTAAGCTAACTATTCAGATAATGCTTGCTTGCATAAGCTAGTAGAATATTGCTGAATTTGTATATAGCAATATAAAATCCTTTTTCAATCTTTATATTAAGCTAAGATAGAATACAAGCTGAAATTGCTATATTGACTGAGAAGAGAACTTATAAGCGCTTCTATCTAGCTTTATATCTGAGCAAATCCTGCTTATTAAGAATATTAGAAGAGCTAGATAAATAGGCTATTAATGAAATACAAAGACATCCTATCAAGAATATATCTTATTAATTATACTAAGCATAATAATGAAAAGCAGCTACAGTATATTGCAGACTAATATCTTGAGAGACTTCTGCATCTAAGAATCCAATCAGATTATAGATATCGAAAAGATATCTGAAAGAATTAGCACTAAAGATTATAAGCAAGTACGATTTGCAAGAAGATATGTTATAATTCATTCAACATGCAGGTCACTAGCTAGGACATCCGGAACAACTGTTCGGAAAGACAGGGAAGGATTCAACATCTCAAGGACTAAGGCTTATATAAGCAAGGGTTAGGGTTACAGGATCAGGATGGATCAGTGGCTGATCCATAGTGATCCGGATCAGTTGGATCACCCAGGTGATCCAAGGGATCCAACAACCAATACTACTAACAGGACTGAAGAGCTGAATATATAAGAACATGTTCATTCCCATTAGATAGATCTCGTATATAGCTCTTCAGTTGTCAATCTAAGTATTCAGTCTTCTATACTGAGTAGCTTCAAAGGCAGTGAATACTTGCATCGCTCAGAACTTGTACAGTTCCGTATTCAAGGACTTGCTACTTCGATATCGCTCTTGTTAGCATAAACCTCTTCGTATACTTAGAAATCTTTGGATTGCTGCAGTGCTCATTACATTTTGATAATTCTTGTTCAAGAACGGTTCAGTATTACTCCTTGAGCAATACGGAATACGATAGCTTCTCCAGGAACTCCTTCATTCTCGCGTGCCCTCACTTAGGAAGAACTGGTTAATCAGGTATATCAGCTCATCTAGCGTATCCAGAATCTGCGCGAACAATAGCAGGCCCAGAGCGCCACCATCGCCAATCAGCAGGCTCAGCTAGCCCAACAAGCTCAGCAGGCGCAGCTTACCTCTGCAGTTACCAGTGGTGCTGGGAAGGCATACAAGATGGATAAGCTTGCTATGTATAATAGCAATCAGAAAACGCTGTATGGATTTCTTACTCACTGCAGGGTGTATTTCCTGCATTATGAAACTCAGTTTATCAAGAAATCTGAGAAAGTTATTCTTGCAGGGATTCATCTTGAGAAGAATGCTTTTATTTGGTATAAGCTTTTTCTATGCAACTACTTGAAGCATTAGAATAATCCTAATATATATATTCAGAGTACTAAGAATATATTCGATTTCTTTAAAAGCTTTAAGAAGGCTTTTAAGAAGATCTTTGGTGATTCTAACGAAGAATGTATTATAGCTCAGCAGCTTATGAATCTCAAGCAGATTAAGTCAGCTTCAGCTTATACAATTAGATTCAAGCAGCTCTCAGCATAATTTCCGTAGGAAGATAAGAATCTTATAGAGTATTATTATAAGGAATTTAAGAATGATATTAAGAATAAGATTTTCAAGCAGAATTAGCTAGAAAACTTTGCAATATTCTCTAACTAAGCAATCTGCATTGATAACTGTTTATATGAACAATGAGTAGAGAAGTTCAAAAAGAGAGAAAGCTAGACTTGGAGATTTCCAGCTAACATAAGCAAGAAACTCCAAAACAAGAATAGCAGTCGATATAGTAGTACAGCTTAGAGCAGTACTATGCATGCTAGTTCCATAGAATTCGATGCAGCTAACAGACAGTATAGCAAGAAGAATAGTATTACTTGCTACAACTGCAATAAATAAGAATACATTGTATGCAACTGCTATTAATTCCGAAAGAATAATTAGCAATCAGTTCAGGAAGAATGCTAGATGAATATTGCTCAATAATAGAAACTCAATCAATTGAGCAAAAACATTTCCTTGGAGCAAGTATCGAACTTTGTTGATTATAGAAGTCTCAGCTGAACATTCTGCTATAATGATAACTGCTTAATACATCTCTCGAATAAGGAAGATTCAGAATGGTTCTCTTAGAAGCTTCAGCGCTGCAGACAAATAGCAATAGCAGAGCGAGGATGTATACTCAGCACTTTCATGAGTAGCAACTCGGATTACTCTAATGTTGTGGAATGGAGTATTCAGGTATTGGAAGAAGGATTTAGCAATGATACTTTTCAACGTTCTTTATCGCTTACGCTAAGCATTATGATTAGGAATATGAATAAGGGATAGTATCTTCTTGGCTACTGGTATAAATATCTAAGCAACATGGAGAATGCTTCTCAAGTAATAGAAGGATCAAGCTAGAGCAAATAATCTAGCAGCTTGCAGAAGCTTCCTGCAAACAATATGCTCAACAAGCCTAAAGGAAGATTTCCCTTCAGCATTAGATGGAATAAGGAAACAATATTGATTGAATATCTTATCTATGGAATAGAGTTGGAAGAGCTCTTCATCTGCATTCTCTTGCAGAATATTGAGATACAAGAAGATGAGGATCTCCGGATTAGCTCACTTTACAATCTACACTACGAATTGGCTTGGATCTTCTGCACCTATTATAGCTGCAGAATGCATTTCTCAGA